GTCCCACACCTTTCCTGCTTTAAAATCTGGGATGAGGCACTCAGTGACTCCTCAGAGGAGCAACACAGACAGGATCCTCACCTGCAAAGGATCAACTCCAACCTGACCTTGAAAAGCTGATTTCCAGAGCAAAATACCCCAGTCTCAACATCTAGCAGGGAGCGCAGGAACTCACTGCAACATTTGCACAGGCTGGAAAGAACGGAGAAAACTGCTCCCAAAAAAAGTATTGTGGTAGGCCAATCCCCAGCAAAAGATAACCTGGCATTTTGGGGAAGGTCAAAAGAAAACACCGCGCTCCCGCCTCCAGTATTCTTCCCACACTGGCTGCTCACATGAGATGAGGGCTCCCAGGATGGACGGTCTCCACTCCCACACCATCAAAAGATGACAAGAGATGCTACTGAAGATTGGGAAGAATGAATATCCAACTCTTCTCCCATCTCCAAAGGGCCWGCATAAGAGTGGAAACACAGCTTCCTGCAGGGATGCAGGAGGAGAAGGGGAAAGCAAAAGCCACAGGCTCTGGCACATCATTTTGAAGATGTTTTGTGCCCMTCAGACCCCCAAAACCTCCTTTCTTCCCACCCTCTGGTTCAATAATTCAATTCAGTATCTTCTAGCCTTGCAGCAGTGCTGGAGTACTGGGACAAGCCTCCCCTCTGGACAGCATGAAGACCCTCCAAAACACCAAAACAATGGGAAGGACCCTAGAGCAACTTGTAACAGAAAGAAATTACMATTCTGTCATTTAACACAGCACCAGGAGAGACCTGGCTGCTTTGAGCCCCAGTAATTCATCTCTTCTCCAAACACCCCTCTGGGGGTTTTTTCCCACTTATTAGGGTTTTCCTGCACCTCCAGGAAGGCCAGACTCATCTCAGGCCATCCATACAGAAGATGATGAGCTGTTCAACTCATCYCAGCCCAGGCACCTCATTATGAGAAGGAAAAACTGCCGTGACAGAGCCAGGATGCCAAAGAAGTGAAGATTTRGGCAAAGGAATGAGGAGAGCCGGGTGCCTGCGGAACGCTGCCTGCAGAACAGCRGGACAGGAGGCGGTGGTCATGGCCCCAGACAGGCTCACAAAAGCACAGAGGATTTATGAGCAGCCACTCTAAGGAATTAAATTAAAAGGAGAGGAAAAATGAATGGTTACAGGAGCTCTGTCAGGACAAACAAGGGCAGTCTCGTCCCCCTGACAGCCCGAAGGTGAAGGTGGATTATTTTCACCCAGCCTGAAGAGCTGCAGGGACCTAGGATGAGTCACGACAGAGCAATGTGGGGCAGGAACACGTCTTTGGGAATGGGCAGTGCAGGGAAGGGATGCAGACGGCCGCAGCAAGGTCAGTAGTCCGCAGGCCACTGCAGACAGCGACAGCAGGAATGATGCTCCGGAGGGGACACCCAGCCCTCCCCAGGCRCCAGCAGCTCCCCACAGGCTCCATCCCCCTCTCCCCAGCTTTTCCCTGCTCCATCTCTGCCACCCCCACACCAGCCAGCGCCCAGCTCGCTGCCACCGCAAAGCTGCAGCGCTGTGCATTAGCATTCCCTGCCACAGCCTGCGCGGGATCCCGCCGGAGCCGGCATCCGCAGGGGCACAGCACCACCCCAACGCACCCACCATCGGCTCTGTGGGGCACAGAGCTGCCACCCAACTCACCTCCCCACAACCAAATCGGGGCCTTCAGCCCATCTCAGAGCCCAGGAATGCTCCAGGAGAAAGATCAGCCCGCAGYGTCCACCTGTCTGCCAGCACTCAGGTGTGGAGGAGCCCAACAGACAGCGATGCCAGAGGGACAAGGACACGGCCAGGGACAGGACGTGCCAAGCCCCCTGCCCTGCCGCAAGTACAGTGCTGCTTGCCGTGTCCTTCCCACRCCAGGGCACCCACAGCTTGGCTCGCCTGGGAGTTTAAGGCTCCGCCAACCGGCTGACGTGGATTGGGAAAGCAACTGCTGCCAAGGGCACCTGCAGTCTCCAGAGAGGCAGGAGAGCAGATGCCCAGACGCAGCAGTGATGGCACACAAGGATCTGGAAGAGCACCGGCTGCCCTTGAGCTCTCCCATTATCTCTGCATCCATGTTCTCCTAAACAAGGTAAGCCACAAGCCTCAGCATTCCCAACCTTCCCCAGCAACATCATATCAGTGGCTGGAGAGGTGGAAAGCTCGGCATCGCTCACATCTGCCTGCAAACCACTCCTGGCCAAAGCACCACCTTGCTCTGACCAATTTGGGCTTATTCTTCTGGGGTTATTCAAATTCCCATGAACTGCAGTAAAAAGGGAGCTCYGGCAGAGCCAGGAAATCTCAGCTCTTGTGGGAAAACCACCCCGTTCCTCCTTTYATCTCCACTGAGTCAGCTCCTATTTCAACCTGGAGCTGATCGTATTAAATCTCTTAATCTCTTACCTCCYGCCGTTTCACTTTTTCACCTTAAACAAGTCCCAAGAGAGGAAGAAAYAGCAACAGCAGCAATGCCCAGGGCTGGCTCCCAGTTCCGGGTGCCCCCAAAAAGGAGACACTGACTTCTCCACAGCACCCAGGGGCCAATGTGCTTCCAGCTGCACCCAARATGCTCCTGCAGGTCCTGGGCTGGATGGTGGTGGACTCACACTGGCACTTTCCCCAAGTGTCAGCACAAGTTAARGCTCCTCTGAAAAGCCATTCACACAAGAGACGGAGCCTGCACTGAGCTTGGCCACACTCCCACCCTCCCCATCTTCAAACGCCTCACRCAAACTGCATCAGCAATGTTCAATGAGCCCAAAAACCCAGGAGGGAGCTGCTTCAGCAGCACAGAATGATCTTGACCATTTCCATGCTGGTAAATCATCTCACTCCATCATCTCCACTGGCCTCTGACCATGCCAGGAGATCTGGGGCAGCCAGCTCAGAAGTCAATTCGACTGGCAGGGAATGAGAAGGAGTTTTAATGGTTTAATTGYGATCCTGTTCTGAGGCATCAGAGCTGGGGGCACTCAACAGCTTATCTCAGGAGTGCAATTCTCCCTTCCTCGGCCTTTCATCCTCCTGCCAAGGCCTCTGCCATTCCCCAGCRCTATTTGCAGGAACTAGCCAGGCAAGGAAAACAGGAGCCCGGAGCAATTTGTTCCCTGAGCTCAGCCCAGCGTGCTCCCCATCTCTGATGTTATCAGCCTCAAATGTCGTGTGTCGCTCTGGGCACCTTCAATATCCTCACCCRGCCAGGAAAAGCTGCAGCAGCCACTGAGTCCAACCAAGGCTCCTCACACCACACAACCAGCCATGTCTGCAGCAGAAAATTCTGGGGATACAATCTCTCATCCCCCTGAGACACAAGCAAACTTGCCTCTGAGGATGCTGGAACAATTCGTTTTTACCACACGGATTTTGGTTCCACAGGATGCTCTGGGATTAGCAGTTTGCTGTCCCCTCAGAGCAGTTGGCTGCAGCCTCGTGCTGTTCACTCTGACAGAGACGATGGTTATGAAAAGATAAAAACAATCCCCGAGCTGGAGCTGTGCTGAGCCACTGCTGGAAGAGGCAGATCCCAGCCCCACATTCCTCTRCTCCTTCCTTCAGGCTATGTCCACAGCCCAGATAAACAGGGCCTGGTCTCCAAACCCTGCTCCCAGAGTGAGATGACGCCTCAAATCCAGCTGACCTTCCTCCCAGGGGTCAGATGCTCCCCAATCCCACCCGTGGCCAGCGCAGGCAGGAGAGATTCCCCCAGAGAATAAGGATGTTCCCGTTCCCTGTGACTGCTGTGCCTTTGCGTCCACCGCTTCCAGGCGGCTGCAGCCCTGAGGGGAACACAATGTTCAGCTGCAAAGATCTGTGCGGTGCTTGGAACACAGATCTGCCTCCCTGACAGGACTGGAATTTCAGCATTGAGCCCGGAGCACAGGGCCAGTTCCCYGGGTCACTGGGGTCCTGCACCCTGCTACAGTGGCAAGAACAGTGCTTGCCCACCCTTGGTGCCATCTGAGCACCCCACAGGGTTGTGGGAGCAGCACTGGGACATCTCGGAGCTCCTGTGGGGCTTTCAGCGATGGAGTGGTACTGAGGTGACTCGGCAGCCTCTTGCTGAGCCCAAATGTGCTCCCACCCACACTTCCAACAGAACCCCTATCCCMAAAAAAGTTCAACATTCTGAAATCTCCCAGCCACCCTTCTGAATGACCCATAGCTGGATTCCAGATTGCTGCTTCTGCCTCTTCCCCTATAACAGGTGCCCCCTGCTTTGTCCCCACCATTAAGCACTGTCACCCCAGAGTCCCACACAAGGACCCCACCCTTCCCGGGTCACCCTGTTCCCCTGAACTCCTATGTCACAGTCCCCAGAGCTGGACCCGGCCTGGCCCAGCCCCCCCAGAACCTGCCCTGCCGGTACCGATCCTCCTCTCACCCCCATGCGGGCCAGGGGATGTTGGATGTTGCTGTACCCCAGCATCCAACACTCCCCCACCCCAATCCCAAACCGGGCCAGCAGCCCCCTGGCTCATACCTGCCACCCCCAGACCGGACCAACCCCCTCTCCGGTACCAACCTCCCTCTCCTTTACCGAATGGGGACAGCCCCCGCTTCCCAGTTACCCCCAAACTGGATCAGTCCCAGCTTTCCCAGCGCAAACCCCCACCTGTGGTGCTGCTCCTCCCAGAGACGGGTCACGGTCTCCCCCTACACAACCGGTGATCTCTCCCCCAAACCGGGGGCTGCACCCCCATCCCGACCGGGGCTGGTCCGCCCAACCAGGAGCTATTCCCACTCGCCTCCCCCCCAGACCGGGGGCTCTCACCCCCACCACCCAGGGTCCTCCCCCTGTTCGCCCCACAGCCGTGAGGCTTCTCCCTCCGCCCCAATCGGAGGCTATGTCCTTGTAAAAGAGGGCTCCTACCCCACACCCGGGGGCTGCTCCCCCCAAACCGGGAGTCCTCCCCCGCCACAACCGGGGGCTGCTCCCTCAAACCAGGATCTGATCCCCCGCACCGAGCCGGCCCCTGCCGGCCCCGCTACCTTCTTGGGGGCCTTGGTGACGGTGGCCATGAATGAATATTTCTCGGCGTCCTCCACCTCCTTGGCCTGCTTCTCCTCGCCGCCGGCGGGCTCCGGCACCGACATCCTGATGCGGCGGGGGACGCGAGGCGGATCGCCGCCGCCGGCAGAAAGGAACGGGACAGGGTCCGGCGGGGCRGACAGCGGGGAGCACTAAGCCGGGCGGCTGTAGCTCGGCCCGGGCCGGTTCGGCCGCGCCGGTCCCTCACGCTCACTACGGTACCGCTGGCGCGGTGGCTGCGGCGGGACTGCGGCCGCCGCGCCAGGGGCGGGGCCTCGTGACGTCACCGCGCCCTGACGTCACCGCGCAGCCGTCGGGCAGCTGAGGCCGCGCGGCGCCGCGGGAGGAGCGGGAGGCGGGAGTGGCGCCCCCTGGCGGACGAGGGAGGGGGCGTGGCCACAACGTGGGGGGCGTGGCCATAGAGCGGAGCACGCTCCTGTGGGCGTGGTCATAGCCAGGAACGGGGCGTGGCCAGGAACAGAAGCGCGGGCCGAATCGCAATTTACTAAAATTACTTTATTAATAAAATTAATCAATTTTAATATATAAAAATATATTTAAAATATATTTTTTTAATTTTTATATCATAAAATAAATCAATTTTCTATATATGCATTATATATACATATTAAAACTAATGCTATTAAGTTAAACTAAAAATATTAAGTTAATTACATAAGCTAAATGAAATATTTGTAAGGATTAATTCTACACATTAAATAATAATAGACACTAAATATTAATTATATATAAATGTTAAAGTAAGTAAGTTAGTTATATGCGTTTACATTTAKGAGTGGATATGAAAATATTAAAGTTATATAAATTCATTTATGTATTTATGTATACATTACTTGYGTAAATTTATATTTAAAATTTATATATTCACTAAATAACATAAATTAATTATATAAATTAAAAAATAAATTACATACACTTAAATATTAATTTTGTATATAAATATGGAAGTAAAATAAATTCTATAAATTGAATTAAATAGAAATACATTTAATTAAACAATTAATTGGGAAATTAAAGCTGAAATTAAAGAGCAAGCGTCTTCAGGGTAAAAAAAATATTTGTGCTTGTTCAGGGGGAAGAAGCAAAGCAGGACAAAAGCCACGATGAATCAGGAATATAGTTTAAATAAAACAGGGGTAAAAGTAAATCTCAAAAAAAAAACCGCATCAGGAAATGGATGGAGAAAATGGAAGGAAACATCAGGAAATGGAGAAATCATGGAGAAAATCAAATGAGGCGSGAGGGCAGCAGGGACAGGGTGGGGGCAGACCCCCATGGTGGGCAGGGGGAATGGGTGCCCCCCAAACCCGGGCTAGTGCCTGACTCCAGGTGGGTGCCCAGCTCCGTGGCAGTGTTTGAGC